GAGTAAAGGTCTGTATTACCGAGTTTAAGCCGTGCCGTGGTGTAACTCCAACACGCCAGCACCATAAAGCACGCTCGAATATACTAACGAGCATCACAGCCATCACATTTAATGCTAAGGAGTATCGGGCTGCAGGTGCTGTTGTCTCTGAAGATTTGGGCAGGCAAAAATGCCACACAAAAGGGTCCAAAGATTTTCCGTAGAGATCTGCCTCTCTCGTGCATGCAGACTGCCTCTGTGATGCGGGGAATATAGCCGTGTGTTCCTTAGTGCGCTGCAGCAGCCAAAAGCAGCCCCATACCTCTAAAAAAAAGCAGGTCTGGAGGTTGTAAAATACGACCAGCTCAACTTTTCTCTCGTATTATTTTGCTGATTTTTTTTTTTTTTTTTTTTTTTTTTTTCCCTTGTTTCCTATTACTCACAGATCGTCTTTCCCTAGACTTGACTGAATTGTCTGTGTGCAAAGTGAGCGGAGCAGTCGTTCACCTGTCTGTCCATGTGTCTGCGGAGATGTAAGAGGTTTTATTGTTCTCCTGCAGAAGGAAGTGGGCAGCAGGACAGGGCACAGAGTAACGGGGAGGGGCGAGAGGAGCAGAACAAGGGGAAAGCAGGCTGGGTATATAACAAGTGTTGTACTAACCCGTGCAGTCAAAGCCTTTTGGTCTTGATAGCTTTTTCTCACGACGGAGAAGAGCCTGGATCGTGCTGTGATGAATACAGAGGGGCTTCTTTTATCAGGGCTGGGGGATGCTGAGGGACTCTGTGGTTTTCTTTGGAACTTGAGTTGGCAGTGAAGGGCAGCCAGACAGTGGGTGCAGACACCTTATGAGGTTTTCCTAAATCCCGATCTGGATGGCTCCTCAAAGTCAAGCATGCCACAAAGTTTATAGTCTCTAAACTGGACTAGCAGCTCATTGCTCGCATCCTCTCAGAGGTAATCTTGGGAGCAATTAGTGTGCAAGAGAATGGGTGTTAGGAATTTCTCCACTGTCTTGGTTCCTGCTCCATCTTTGGGATTTTTTAAAATTAATTTTACTGATGGCTTTGAAGTATTGTAGGCTATTTACTGTGATAAGTGTTTCAATGTTAGTGTATTACAGAACACCTGTGGGAAAATGGTATGAAAACAGTACTTTCAAGCTCTGAAGAGAAAAAGGGCACCATGGCACCAGATCTTGCTTGTGGTTTAAAATAAAATCGCAGTTGCTGTTAGTTTTCTTACTCAGGTATTTGTTTCACAGAACTCAAACACAGTAAGTGGAGTTTTGAGAAGGTTGCCAAAAAGTACCATTTCCAACAGATGCTGCTTGCATCTCTGTTTGGAGTGACCTTATACTCATTCACAGCTTTCCTTCCTGAGTATTACGTGTCTTTTTCTGATTGTATCTTTCAGCTCTTGGTTCGGTCACAACCTAACTCAAGGGGTGGGTTCACAAAGACTTTAGGCTGGCACTGCTGTAGACAGAACCTGTCCGCACAGCTTCAGACTGTCCGTTTCCGTACTTGTCACACCTCTTTCCTTTGTCGCTGGCATGGGTGTTGGCACTGCTGTTCACTGACCTAGGCCAAGGGGCTCATCCAGATGAAAAGTAACGCTCTCTTTTAGCACGTTAGTTCTCAGCCACATCTGTTCTCCGCTCCAGTTAATCATATGGTTGCATAAATGCTGGTGTGCCCAGAGAAAGGGGTGCAATGGCTAGTGTGTGGGCAGTGGGAGAAAAGGGCTATTTTCTTAGCAACTCTGCCAACTTTTCCCACTTTAAGAAGTTCCCTGAAGCATGTCTACAGTTGCTCCTGTGATAGCGAAAGGATTTTCTGTCTTATCTGGCCACAGCTGTGTCTTAAGAAAGCAAAAATTCAGTGTTACCTTTTTTAAAAGACCTATTACACTTTCCCTATAACTCAGATTTGTCCTTTGTTAATTTATATTTGTTTTTTTGTTTGTTTGTTGCCCTCCCCCCATGCATGCAATTGATCTTCCAGTAATTTTCTTGGGCAACTTTTTCATCGCTCAAAGTACTTTAACATCAGAAAAGCTTTCATATTCTAGTGCAACAGTTTTTGCCTTGGTGTATATTTCTGTGAAATGATTGCTTATTCTGTCTCTCTCTGCATTTCCACCAAGTTCTTACAAGCTACTAATGAGACTGAACTTTTAATATTATGCAATGTCTATTACTCTAGGCCTAATGATTGTGGGTTTTTTTATACTCTTTCTTCAATTTATCTGTGTTCCTTTTGCAGAATGAGATCTGATATTCCATGTGTTGGAGGTGATTCATCTCTCTGTTGCCTGAAGTGATATCTGAGCACAGGCAGACAAAAGTTACATTGGTCGTTTTGTAGAAGTATTTGCTTTGCAGACAACTCTGATTTGTTCAGCATTCTCACTCTTGCATGTCTTTAGCTCCTGCTTCTGGCAGAGCTTTTTCCTTGATTTAACTGGGTTTTTTTCATTGTTATTTTTTTTTGTTTGTTTCATTACTTTTTCCACACAGTCTTATTTGTCCCCCCCTTGCTTTTCTCTTGTTTGTTTTTGAGCTGTCTGAATCCCTTTGAGTTGTTTCTGTCCACTGGTATTTGTAAACTTCATTCTGCATCATCTGCAAGTTTCATTAGAATGCCTTTATTCAGTATTAGATCTCTAATTAAGATGTCAAAGAAAACTCGACTGGCAAAGATCCCTGCAGCAACCCAGTAGATGCCCCCTGTACCTGTTGGTTCCATTGGTATATATCATTACGCTTAGTTTTGAAACCATTAGTTAATTTTTGTAATAATATGAGCAGTACTCTCCAAAGCCAATTTTGAAGTAGTTTTTCCCTTGTGATTTCCCTGGAGAGTAGCAAATGCTATTCTAAATCTAAACCTATTACATCATGCACTGTATTCTTTTCATTCCCTAACTTCATGGCAATTCTATCCTCCTTTGAAGAGCAATCAAGTTTATTGATGTTTACGGTAGCGGTAGCGTATGCTCCTCTCTCTCCCCAACGTCTGCATTATGCCCACTGCCATGCTAAATAAATGCCCATCCCGTTCCTTTGTAGAACCTTGTAAAAAGTCAGGAATTTGCATGTATGGAGCTCATTACAAGATCTGAGACTAAATGATTAGAAAGAGTTCTTTAGGGTTTGGAGGTGGTGTTTTGGGTTCTTGGGGGGTTTTTGTTTGGGTTTTTGGGGGTGGTTTTTTTTGTTGTTGTTCCTGCCCCTTGGGTCCTCCTTTTTCTGGAGATGATGCAGTCACTCCTCTTTGTTTTTAACACCACATGAATGAGGCGTTTTCCTGCTAGGGAGGGGCAGGTTTTCCAGTTCCCGGTGCCACTGGCTGAGTCACTGGCTCTGTTTTTCTGTTCCGTTGTAAGTTTATAATTACCTTGTTCTTACCTTCCTTAGAATATGATTGCCAAAGGGTAGGTGTTTTACTTTGCTGTTCTTCAGAGACATGAGTGCCAGTGGCTTTCAGAGCCTGGATACAAGCCTTTGAAGCATCTGCTACGCTATTGCTAAAGAGAAAATAAATTAGCATAGTCCTCAAAGTGCCTCCCTTCAAACAGTATGGTAACCATTAATGACAGATGTCCAGGCAAAGTCTAATCTCTTGTAACCAGGAGCCCTTTAACTGAAGGGGGAAAAGTCAAGAGAACACTGAGCATGTGTATACTGAAATGGAAAGGGAGGATTTGCTGATGGGTCTTAAGTTCATTTTAGCTGATCATACTTCTCCACAGGAGATCCTTGAAATAAGTTCACTGATACCAGACTAGCAGGATTTAGAAGGGTTCTCCTGGTTTGAAAATCTTGTCAGCTTAGGTAAAAGAGAGATATGTGTAAGAGAGAGGTTTGCATAAGAAGTTTTTCTCCCAAGTACACTCTCTGCTCTTTGATTTATCTTTATAAAAATAAATAAATAAGATCCTGTTTATTTTTCTCCTCCCATTTGTTTGTGAAGGATCTACCCTACCAGAAGAAAATAACTGTGCAAGGGAAACAATGTAAATCGCTGTTTCTATCCACCTAACTGAAAAACAGAGAAGCAGCATCTTTCTTCCACTGTTTCTGATCACAGATTTTATTTGTAAGAACATGCTTTAAAAACTGGTGTTGTTTGTGGTTGGCCATGTCCCTTTAAGAATCTAGTTTTGCTTGGCTAGCTGCCCTTTTTCTCCTGTAGATTAATCCAGCAGAAGGTATATAACCTGTTGACCTTCCTGGTGAGAAGGGTCTGGAAGGGCAAAGAGATAAATCAGGAGGTTAGTGCTTTCCTGTAATATCTGGGGGCAAGTTTAACCTGTGTTTTTCAGGCTTTGGCATTTCTTTTTTCTCTTTTGCTTAGTGATTCCTGTTTGAGGTTTGGGGATGTACTTACTGATTCTCATTATTTTCACTTGCTTTCTGTGAAATCCCCATATGTTCAGCAGTTTGGAAATGACAGAGTTTATACTACAGTTAAGAGGGAAGAGTTCTGATCTCAAAATCACACTAGTCTGAGTTGAGGACAGCTTTACTGTCTCTTGTATCAAACTGTTAGGAGAACTGGAATCCAGCTAAAATGGTTGGCGTCTGTTTGTCTGCTAGGCAATTTCAGACTCTTTTACAGGAAAACTAATCTGGTGGACTTTCCTCAGTGTCAGCCCTCAGGAAGCGATCTTAGCTGTAAGCAGTGAATATTCACCTGCTGTGTATTCCAGGTGGGGCATGTACTCCAAAACTGAGCTGGAGTGGTTTCCGAGTACTCCAGGAGAGTGCAGCTCGGTTAGTAGCCATGAGTAGGGTTCATTCATGTGATGCAGATGTTTCATTGTTGTGCTTTACTCAGGCATTGGTTTATCAAAAGTATCAAACACCTTTAAGCTCCCATCTAACAGCTACTAAAATCAGGATGCATGCTTAACTGGTTGACTGAATTAACGTCCTATTTTATATACCTGTTCTGCCTGTTTGTGGTTTGCTTCCGTCTTGAGGCTTTAGTACAGGGCTTAGGTCTGGCCGGACAGGTTGTGCCCGCAACACAGACCACCCACCAGCACTGCACATGCGGAAATCTGGCTGTGTTCGTGGCTTGTGTGGTCAGTGCTTCTGTCTGTCCTGTTTTAAGTCTCTTAGCTCAGGTTCAGCTATTTCTGTTCTTGGAGATTGGCTGTAGTTTTGGAGCTAAATGTTTTCATTGCTTTGGGTGAGATTTGCAAACATGTGTCTCCTGAGTTCATGTGAAATTCTGCCATTAGCGTCATGGGAAGTGAAGTGTGTCACCATTGTGAGGGGTTTTGGCACATCAGCCCTTGAGTCCTAGACAAGAGGCTGATGTCATGAACAAGAGACAGGATTAGGAAATAAAAATTCTATCTGGATATTGTAAAAAGGGCATTATGAGTCTCTTGATTTCATGTTACTTGTCAGGAAAGACTCAAAAGATGCACAATTTCCAGGCAGTGTTAAACACAAGTCCCTCCGAAGTTACCTTGCAGTTCCGAATCGCTTCTGAAGTTCATCTTTTCTTGTCTTGAAATTCTTGTCTGGATTTTGCTCCCAGCCTGATTTGTCATTGAGTGGTTCACTTAAGTTTTTGTGCTATAGTCTTTTCCATAGGTAAAATGGGGGCTTTTGAGTCTGAAGGTGAGATTTTCAGGACAACTGACTTTCAGTGGGTTTAGGATCAAGGGTTTTTTAGGTTGCTATTAAAGGTTCCTTATCCTGTAATAATTAAGTGAATAATACTCTTTGAGAAAATGCTAAGCATGATTAATTTCTGTCTCTAGCTTGGTTTGGTAAGACCCAAGTCATTTTAATCAGTCTGTCTACACTTGTTTATACTTGACAGTTGTGATTTAAACGTGTTAGCTAACACTACTGATGATTCTGCAATAGCAAAGGGACATGATTATTTGCCTTTCTCCTGGTTTGGTGCTTTCTAACCATCTCCATGCTTGTTGGGGGAACGACTCATGGTGACTACTGCTGCTAGCATGAGGGTGGCTAGCCGTTTTCACCCTGCCACAACCTTCATCTGCTTGGGAAGCTGTGAAACACATGCCACATGTCTTGGAAAGTCAGGGAGAATGGGAGCTCTGGGAACAGCTCCCGTGTGGGAGATCGCGGTGACTCCCCAGGAATTGCACTGTTCCTTTGAGGGCTGGGGCCAGCCCAGCGTGTGGCTCAATCCCAGGGCAACCTGGCAGTGTCAATCTCTGCTGCCCTCGCTGGCTCATTTTTTCTCTCCCAGATGAGATGTTAATCACGCAGTAGTCATTTTGTCAGTCCGTGGCCGCCTGTACGTGGAGCTGTGCATGAGTAGCTTGTGGCCCAGGATCAATCCCCAAGTTGGCCACCCCTAGAGTAGCAGGGAGCAGAACCAGCCTTTGGGTATTTATGTTGTTGGGCTGTGCTGGGGTTTTTTCTGCCCTCCTTAGGGCAGTGAGGCTCTGTTCTGTTTCCTTTATCACAACTGTAACTGATTGGATGGTGTGCAAGGCCACACACAGCCTTATCTCATCACATCCTGTTTGACTGCATTATCCAGGGCTGTGCTGATAGAAGTTCTTCTCTCTCCTTACTTTGATTTATATCACTCTGCTGGACACTACATCCTCTCTCTGTTTCAGCCAGAGCTCAGCTACTGCAATAATTTAAGAGTGTTGTTTTGCTTTGCTCAGGAAATCAGGTGCCTTTTGAACAGCAGCTGCTGCAGGCGGTTTAAGTGTAGCAAGCAAACCAAGCTTGATTTTGTGCTAGGCGGTGTGATAAGCATTCAGCTGAAGCCCAAGCTTATATTGGATATGATCTAAGGCTAGTAGTGTTTGTCCCTTTGTAAACCAGTCTTAGTGGTGAGACGGGGACAAAAATCTCATGGTGCAGCCTGTAGATGTAATGATTTTATTACCTTGCCCAGCACACAGAGGGAAATCTCAGTTCTCCTTTCTTCCTCGCCTGGTGCTGCTGCCTGTTAAGAGCTTTTGCTTCACCTACAGCAAGTAACAGTTAACTGGTTTTATTCAAAGGATTAGGCAGCATTACTCTGATGCCCTGGGTGGATAAGGTTGTTCACAGGGAATAGCCAGCATTGCTCAGGGATCGCAGGAGACCCAGGGCAAAAGGTGAGATTGCAGCCACGCTCACCACTTGGAAAAATTGTGTCGTGCTTGAGTGGAGCTCCCTCAAAAGGCTCAGTGAACTGCTCTCACCTATCTACACTGTTGCTGGATCTTCTGCTGAAGCTCAGAGTTTCTTTGGCTCCAGGCTGCTTTGGTGACTGGCATGTAGCTCCTGAGGAGCCTGAGCAACTGGTTGCTGGCTGGGGCTGCAGAAGTGCTGTTACCTGCCTAGATATAGTTCAGTGCTAGCTGGTCTTGCTACAGTTGCATCTTTATTTTGCTCTGTAAAGACTCTGTAACGTGTTCATGATTTCTGTCCTCTTTTGCCTGCGAGCTTTTAACAGACCTTATTGTTGAATAGCTTCTTTCCCACTTTTTCCCTTTCCAGTACGTTTGTGGTGTGGTTTTTTTTTGTTTTTTCCCTGCAGTCTTTGAGTTGCACCCCCTTGGAGCTACTCATCTACTGATTGCACTCATTCTTCTCTTTCAGAGGAACTGAGCTATTATTGTAGTGTCCTGTAGAATTTCCCAGCCTTCTTCCTCTGGTAAGTTTGAATGCTATCTTCTTCCATCATACCTTGTGCAATAGATTTCATAGTATTCCAAACTGTTGCTTTCCTAAACCCAAATCTCCTTGTATGACTGCATTGTGTAAGCTCATTTGTTAGTGTGTTCTGGATGGAAGTAACTGTCTGGTTGTTGCTGTTTCCAGGTTTTCTTATTGTTATAAACTACTCTAAAGTTATAGTTTGAGCAGCAGGACATCTTCTCTTCTGGCCAAATTCATTGTTTTTTCAAATTCTCTGTTTGACTGCTGATGAGATATGAAAATGTTGTGGTTCAGATCTTCTATAGTAGCAGTATTTGGCTCATGTTACCAAGGTAGTGAATACCGGAATTGTTTGCTTTTGTTTGCGTTACAATGACATCAAGGAATACCTGTAATGGGAAGCAGTCCCTGCCCCCAGAGCTTGTAGTTCCATTAAATGAGACCGAGGATGAAGCGATGTCCTTGATAAAATGAAGTGACTTGCCAGCTCAGAAGCAGGAGTGGAACCGCCCGGTCAGACTCCGCACGGCTGTGCTGGCAAGAGCTCCTGCCTGGGAGGGATGGGCGAACAGGGACGGCTCTGGTTAGCGTGTCCTGCTCGATACCGATCCGGGCAGAGAAAGAGGGTGACCATGGAGCAGGGGGAGTCTTTTGGACAGAGCAGCTCTAAGAAAACTGAACAACTGGAGGCAGCTGGCTGTAATTTTTCAGATCCTCGGGAAAATATGATTTTGTGTTGAGCAGCTGCCACAAACACTTAAGAGGGAGCTGTTACCAACAGTAATGACTGAGGGATTGATATTAGAAAGCAGATGTGTCAGACTACAGAGTCTGTTAAAGATGAGCTCCCTGTCAATGAGACCTTGCTGAAGGGCTCTTGGCAGCTGTCTAGCCCTGCAGGATCTCTGAATCTCAATGAGATACCATGTGTGAAAGGAAAGGGAGTTAGCGTTGAAATTACCAGCATCAGAACAATTAAACCAAAGCTGCTGGAGCTGAAAGATTTTTGTGCTTTCCCAATGGTTTTGCTTTCCTCTGACCCAAAAGCCTGCCTTTGTGAGTTACTCATTAAGAGTTGGGCCGTAGCAGAAAGAAGAACGGGGACCGGGACTGAATAAGAAAAGGTATTTGGACAGAGGAAAACAAGCAGGAAGTAAAAATACTGTGGTGAGGAGGTGGAGGTGCTGTGAGGGGCTTGTGTCTTTGATCTTGGCAGAGAATCCATGACTGGAATCCACAAAGAAAGATATTTAATCAGCTCTCTCAGTAAAATAAGAGTCAGATCACAATAAGAACAACTGTAAGGTACAATATCAGAAATATGAGAGCCAAGAAGCGAAGTGTAAGTTGAAACTGGGAAGAATCTAAAGTGAACAAACACTAAGTCTGGGACCTCTGGCAAAACTTCCTGTTATGAGAATGGGACAACATCCTCTGACTTCTCTGATCCTAAGAACTGTGCCTGGTGAGGAGATTCAGATAGGGAAGGAACTGTCTGAGCATGCCTTGGGAACTGGGATGTCAGTTTAGTGATTTCAGAATCAAATTCCCTTGACATCAGAAGAAAGTTCTGTGTTTACAAGCTTTTCCACAGGTAGAAGTTGTAAATTTTTTTTTTCTACGTTTTTTTTAAAGTATTATTTACTGACATTAGAGCACTCGGTAATACAGATCAGCCTAATAGTTACCAAGCTGTATCTGAATAGTTACTATTGATTGAATGGGAAAACAGAAGCAAACTGAAGGCTAGATGCTGAAACATCTGTATTTTGTTAAAGTAGTTACTAATGAATATTTATTCAAACCTTCCGTATAAATAACACATTCAACATTAGTATGTTTCTGAAAAATGCTCTGGTTTTGACCAGATTGCTTTTTCAGTGGGAAGTGATCCCACTGGCAGTTTTTCAGTGCTATACTCCTGAAGCCATTTACCATTGAGTTTAGCCCATGGCTTCTCTACAGTTTGCTTTGTTGAGTTTAATAAATGGCCACTTTGGCCACCAGTGAGTTCAGAGTTCAGATCAACAGTGCAAGAAACAGAAGGCCTGAACTTTTCAGCCAAAAAAGAGACTCACGGACCAGATAGCACCTGACCAGACTCCCTGTATGACTGTTTATTGCCTCTGAGCACAGCGTATCGCTGTGGGATTGCTCATGGAGCTTACTATTTAAGCAGCATTATTTAAGAAAACTTTACAAGCTCTTTAATCCCTGGGCATCTTACTGAACTAGAGACGTAGAGCTATAAGGATTTGCATGGTCTTTTCAGTCTATGAAATTTCTTGGGAATTTGTGTTAGTGTCTGGATGGTTGCAGCTGGAGATGGCCAAACACCCTTGATTTTATAGTCTGTACAATTCCACTCTTCTCATCATTCATCAGGAATAGCTTTAGTGCCAAGGAGGGAAAGCAGAATCAGGCCCCAAGGTGTAGAAACATTCGGATTGGCCACGATAGTACATTTCAGTGCCTGCTGACTTAGCTGTAGCTTGGGATAAGACTAACATTGCTTGTCAAGGCACAAAAAGTAAGGAGCATTAAAAAAAAAGTATCTAGTAATTTCAATATTTATATAAAGTTTTCTCTCATTGCCCATATGTTCCACATCTCCCTTGATTTAATTTACACCAATAAGGCTCACATATTCTGTCTTTTGCTTTGTGGACTTCCCTGAATATACAAGTGTCATCTGCTCAAACTGGTGCAACTTTTCCTTTGTGCTTGGAGTAGAGAGCCTTGGGAGTTGACATGGAACTGAATACAGCATGTTTGCGCCTCCACTTGTTCTGGAGCTTGGACCAAAAAGGACCCAGAGTTTCCTTTGCAAAGGTGCTTGGTGCAGATGTGAAGCCTTATAAAACGCGAACAATTCCTAGGGTTTGTATGCAGGGGTGGGAGGAAGTTATGCTTCAGATATATTTGTTTAGTTTCCAAAATGTATGTGCCATGCTGAAATCATCTGCTAGGTATTCATCTGTGTCTGCATGGACATTAAGGAGATGAAAATAACTGGATTCGGAGTAGGTGCTTTTTATGGTTATGATGGCTCTACATTCCCTAGGAGATGATTTTGTCTACTTGTATGCATTGCTAGGGGATTTGGCTTTATAGCAGAGGTTGTAGCTTCCAGTGGCTCTGGGAGTCAAACCACGGAGCAGTTAAGGTATGTTTTCATTTGGTGTGGAGCTTGCTGGCTGTTACCAGACTTGCAGCTCCCAATGCAGGTGGTACTGTGAATACCCTTGCTGTCACACCTTAAGCTTCTTTCTGAACCCCTCCATTTCCCAGTCTGTCAGCCTAAGTTAAAACTACTCTGTGCCTTGTGTATGGAGATTTTAATGTATGTTAAATATGGAAGGCCTTGACAGCTTCCAGGGACTAAGGATTCTTGGGGAAATAGCAAAAAAAGAACAGCTGGAACACAGTGCTTCTGTTTCTTTGTCAGAGTCGCCCTGTGGAAAGCTTAACTCCTCTATACTGATTCCCCAGCAGCACAACCTTTTGAATACCTGTGTAATTTTTTATTGAGCATCTGCCAGTGAAAGGGTATGTATTGGTGATAGATGCTTGGTGGGGGAAGCAACTGTTATTGCTCATTTCAGGGTCTCTTAAAGTCACATTGGCTGCTTTGGTGCCATTCACAGCGTGCTTGGGATGTCTGTCCCAGTGGTAAAGGCCCCGTGTGAGTTCCTCTTTCTGCCCTCCTTGCCCCCCATTTTATTCTTTCTTCCCATGTTCATTAGAGCTCTGAAAATGTGTATCATGGGTCAAGAGGGTTGAAATAACCTAATGTAGAGGCTGAAATGGATGGATGGGCAGTGGTAGGCCATTCCAGTGGCTCATGTGTTCCAGATATTCTCATGGGAAGTAAGTTGTATGCTGGGTTTTCTAAATGTCTATGTAAACCACTTGTTAAAATGCTGCACCGTAGTGTAAGAAGTATACTATGTCTAGAAATACTCATATGCTCAGTATCATCTTACTTGTTTCCTGAGCTTTTGGTGGGTTATGGAGATATAAAATAGGTATCTGCCGCTGTCTAAAGTTACTAAGGAGCAGCAAAACCTTCTGAGAGCCAGTGATGACAACTCTTTTTACAACCTCAGCTTTTGAAATTATAAAGTTTTTAAGAATTTCAGCTTTTATTAAAAAGAATAAATCTAGTCATCATTGTCTTGGAGCAGATTTTGTAAACAAATCCAAAGAGGTAATAAAACAGAGAGAGACTTAAAAAGCAGTGTATGTTGTAATGGTTTTTTAAGTTGATGTCATAAAAGTTTCTGTGGCCGTGAGCCCTGAATTTTTGAACTTTTGAAGTTGAATGAATGGACATGCTTTTCGTACTTACCAACTAGGGCATGGCATAAATGCACAAATTTTGTTCTAGCTAGTTTTTGACATATACCAGGCCCAAATTTCTCCTCTGTCCTCATTCATTGTAATAGTTCTGAGTTAGTCTGACTTGGCATGTCAGAGCTCTCTCCTTACTCTCTTGTTCAATATAGGTTTGATTCTGTTGCTCTAGGGGGAAAAAAAAAAAAAAAGAAAAAAAAAAGAGAAAAAAAAAAAAAAGGCAGCCTTATTCTTATTTCTTGCTACCTAGCTCAATGTAGTTATACGCAGGGAAGTTTTGAACTCTCACATTTAACTGGATTCTCAACTGGTGGCTTCTGAATATTACTTGTAGCTCAAAAAGGTAAACAAACAGCTTTGTGGTTAAGGCAGGGGAATGATCTGTGTCTTTAGAAGGAATTTATCTTCTTTCTCTAAGGTTGACTGGAAGTGTCTGCATGGTCTGAAGTTGCTTTCTGAATGTGTGTTTTAGTAGCTCCACTCAATGACTTCAGCCTTTACTGCAGGTGTTTATAAGTAGACTGTAACTGTAGTTTTCAAGAACTAGCAGCCGCCTGCTTAGGTTCGAAGAGAAAACGGTTTCTGCTCCTGCCCGGTGGCAAATATAATAGCTAGCTGGTAAAGGATGAGGGGGCAGAGAGGCACAGAGAACTGAAGGAATTTGCCCAAGGTCATTCTGAAGATAAGCAGTAGAAACAATCTAAGCGCCTAGGATTCTTGACCTGCAACCTCGTGCCTTTTTCCTTTCAGACATGGTGCCTTCTGCTTCTGCCAGGATAGAGTGCTGAGATTTGGGAGACATTGCATTAAATTGTCTGGCTCCAGGAACTGCTTTTTAGAACTGCAGCTGATCCTCAAGAAGAAGAAATGTCAGTGTTAAAAATGACACCGACTACTAACTCTGATCCAGTGAAACAGTATCTAAGAAAATTTCAACCCCAGTGCTCAGTGATGACTAGATAATTCATCACTGCTTTATTTTGTATAGTCTTTCACACGGACTGAATCTCTGTATGCGTGCTTCAGAAAGTTAAATAACAGTTACACAGATAACGACAGCAGAGGGAGAAAGAAATTAGGATACAAAGACACAGGCAAGAAGATATAGGTCTGAGGAGAACTGGGAAGTGATAGAGAGCTAATGAGCCAAAGAGCTATGGGAGCAGGCTGTTTTATCAGGAGGATGTTTAGAAAAGGTTTTAATCTCAACATAAATAGAAATCAAGCACGTGGTTGAGTTACCATCTAAGGTAAACTTAAAGTAAAAACCCTCCTCGCTGAGGTTTTTCAACTTTTTTATTTCTTCCTGTAGTATCTCCTCATTTTCCTAGAGAGGAGGATTTCTAACTGACAGATGGGATGTGTTTGTCATCACAGGTTCTGAGTCTGCTTCTCCACGTGGCACCTTGGAGTTTCTAGCTGGCACCATTACCTCCAACGAGTGGAGTTCTCCCACCTCCCCTGAGGGGAGCAACGACTCAGGGGGCAGCGAGGCCTTGGACAAACCCATTGACAATGACGCTGAGGGTGTGTGGAGTCCGGACATTGAGCAGAGCTTCCAGGAAGCGCTAGCCATCTACCCACCATGTGGACGGCGGAAGATTATCTTGTCAGACGAAGGCAAGATGTATGGTAAGGAGAAAGAAAGGGCACACACAACACTCCAGGCAGCCTGTTCTGCCCTGTGCAGGCCACTTGGCTTGTACCAAATGATGTTCTGAATGAACTCCAGTCTCTTGGGCATTCCCAAGTTGATGTAGTTGGTCACTTCAAGTTGTATTTAGGAAAATCAATGAAGATCGTTTTAACACAAGTCAGAAAGAATTATAGATGGGTTTTTCCAGAGAGCATCGATAAGGTAGATCCCAGAGTTGGGCATGCTACTGAGATAATCTTTGGATCAATATCATATAACGGCTTCATAGTGTGACTAAGTCTATCTTTTATGGCATCTATCGTTGCTGTCTCCAACATTCTTGTTATCCTAACAGGTAAAGCTCTGTGACTCTGGTGCTAAAGGGTAGAAGTTCAGTCCCTGAACTCCTGAATGGCTCTGCTGGTGGTGCGCAAACAACTGTTAACTAACAGTTATTGTTAACTAACTATGCTTTTCAGATCTTAAGAAGGGCAGAAATAAGACCTCTCTGGCTGCTCCCTTTCATTGTACTTTGCCTTCTTATAGCCCTGGCATGAATGTCTTTCATCCACAGGTTCTTCTCAGCTAGCTAGCTAGATACCCAGCCCTGAATGCAGAGAAGTAATGGCTTGCAGCTGCAGTAGGTGTCAACTTTTTCGGTGGTAGACATGATTTTGAATTGGATTTTTGACCTATTGCACAGCTAGAATTTCCCTCTTGATTTTGTCCACAATAAAGCTGGTCTGGTCTCAGTTCTCTAGCTCAGTATTGGAAGAAGCCACCTGGCACTTCTGTGACTGGAAAGCAAAGCAAAGGCTGAGAGTGCGCGATATTTAGTTAAAAGTCCCAAGGTGTTAAAACTGTTTCCTCACCTTATGGAAGGCAGTCCTCTTCCTACCCAGTCAAATGCTTGCCTTTTTAAATTTACATTGGAATCGGTGTGTCTTTGCAGTGCCCATCGTGGGACCACCATGCCCTGAAGCTTCACATGAAGCACTTCACAAGTCATTCTTCAGGTTTCTGTCCACCCATCGGGCCCATTGTTCCATGAACTAGGGAATAGATTCCTCTCAGTATGGGGGCATGGGTGGGGCCTTATCTACAAAGGGTGATTTTACTGGGTGCATACATCATTGTACCTGTACAGAGCAATATATATTGAGTAAGACTGATCACCCTGAGGCTCAGCAAGTGTCAGTATTCCTATGTAGACATCAATTCCTGCTGTATGCTGGCACAGACATTTTTGTGATTGTGCTGTGGAACCCAACCATGGAACTGATCCAGCTTAAAACTAACACAGCCAGAAAGGGGGAAAAAGTTAACTTCAGTTCTCATATGCCCCTTGATTTTCTTCACTGCCCAGCTGTTTGTGTTGGTACTTAGAAAAGGGATGATGAGCGGGAATGAACAGCCATGGCTGAGGTGAGGGTAGGACTGCTTATTTCAGAAGCAATGCTTGCATAAAAGTGTTATTCAAACTAAAATATTACTTGAAAATCCACCCCATGCTTATTAAGCATAGATTAGTGACATGGTCCTTGCTGCTCTAAGTCTGCACTAGTTTTGATGACAGGTGACTTTCAAAATTATTGGTGAAAAATTACAGTTGTGTTTTAAAACTGTCTTCATTTACTAATCATTCTCCACAGTCCCTGAAATTGTTCAGCTTTGGAGTGAATATGTGAGAAGAAGTAAGAGTGAGAGCAAAAGTGAAGTAGAATGGACTACAGAAACCAATGAGTCTTAGCTGGGGCCTGACCTAGCATGGACTGGTGTTAAGTGGAAAGTCTCTAGCTAACTGCACTGGTGAGCTGAAGAAGGTAAATAATCCCCTTGCAGGGTGGAAAGTTTAGACTAGGCTCTGGGAGAAATGAACAGCTTTCCTGCAAGCCCTCCCCCACTACTCCAAACGGGACAGTGTCCCTGCTTGCCTTCAGTGCACCTGTTCCCAGCATGAATATTTGGTTCAGTGTGCTCCTGACAGAACCCGAGGCACTGATTTATGCCCTCCTTTGCTTACTAGTCCCCAGGATCCATGCCAAGGAAGCAGGGCACAGCCTGGGATCTATAGAAAGATATGACCTGGCAGGGAGAATAAATATAGTCCCTGATTTCATCTTCACCGCTTAGGAGCCAGCTCACGGAACAGGACAAGCTCTATGTGGAGCTGGCCCTGCCTCTGAGGGACGGTTGTTCAGCTGTCCCGTGACCGACTTGCACGGAGCTCATTGAACCAAGGGGCGAGGTGTTAGAGACAACTGTAGATGCCCCTTTGCCTTGACAAAAGTGGAACCATTTCATTGTTCCCACTGAGGAGTGGCTCGTGTGGTACTACTCTTTTGAGCACAATGTTCCAGGTCCTGGGGGCTCTTCTATGTCCAATTTATATACTTCTCACCTGTTGTGAGGCAACCAGTTATGAGTTTAGAGTTAGTAGCTTTTGCCAGCAAACATGTTGACTAAGCCAAAGTGCACCAAGCCAACATGAACTTGCACTGCTTTGTTTGAATACATTTAAAGTTGCGCAGAAAGGAGTGTTTCAGCCCATACAGAGGACTCATGCTCATGTTCCCTAGCCCTTTTCAGAGGTTATGGCTCTTTAGATGGCACTGTTGATTGTCGAGTGAACACGATTCCTACTTCACCCAAAAGTCAGCCAAGCTCTTTGTACATTGATGATCTGTGTCTTGATGCCTTTGCTGCCTTCTTTTCTTTCATTATCTTTTTCCTCCTAGACATGTTCCCTTACTGGAGGCAGCATTCTGACAGAATAAGCTCATACCACAGCACTGCTTTGGGTGCAAGCCCTCACTGTCCTTTCCAGCAGTCTCAGCTCACCACCTGCTTAAGGCACGAAAAGCTGTCTTGTCTGATATGGGATGCTATCTTTTCTCCTAATCATTGTGTTGACATTAGAAGCAGCGAGTCCAGGACACCATTAACTTACTGATCTGGTGCCTTCACTAAGGTCCTGCTGGATAATTTTGTAAGTCTTTCCTGCTAGAATATTATGGGGGTACAGTGTTACAATTCTATCTCACATTTTCTGATTATGTTTTTCCGTGGGAGAAATAATATCTGTAGCATTTGTACCTAATAAGCAGTCACAGAATTCAGTGCTAGAGTCAGTATCTCCTGCATCTTCAGTACTGGTCTAGAGAAAGGAGAGGGAAAAAGCTTAGCACCTTTGTGTGATTTGCATGGAGATTCTAAACAGAACAGGTCTCCCAGCGCTACTGAGGACAGATAATAATAATAACTAGCAAAGTGAGGCTTATTTTGACAAAACACCACTGGAGCCTCAATTTATAAGTAAGAGCTTGTAAGAAATGAGCTGCCTTAGTTGTCCAGTGTTCCCATCCTCTGCACAAACATCTGGCTTGGAGCACCTTTTTGTAAGAGGAGCTAGAATTGGTGGCTGTGAGATTGATGTTCTGTAGGTAGGATGCAGCTGGTTTACAAACAGCTCAGCCCTTTCAGTGCTGAGCAGGGTGGGGCAGAAAGCCTGGGGGCAGTCATCTACCTCCCAGACTGGTGCCCATTTGTTTGTGAGTAATAGCCCAGATATGGCTGATAGGAAATACTTAAAGATGTCCAAAGCTCAGAGGGATAGAAGGATGGTTAACCACATGACTAGTTAAAACCTGGAGCAGACAGTGAAGCGCATAGACTTGAGCAGGCAATATGAATTAAGCTGGCATAAAAGGTCAGTCTGATGTTGAAAACTACCATGTCACAGGTGGTGCCTCCCACCCCTGTTCTGAAGTAACTATGTACATTTGCAGGATGTTGCTTTCATCTCAAAGGGATATGTTATCAGTTAATGATTTCCCCAACATCAGAAAGTCAGTAAAACTGAAAAGCAAACAAATAAACCCAAAGAAGCACAAAACATGCACTACCTGTCCCGGTTCATAAACTAGGGAATATGCGGGCCTTCCTCTGGGAGGAAAAGGGAGACTTGGTTGCCCGGGATATGGAGATGGGTGAGGTTCTCAACGACTTTTTTGCCTCAGTTTTCACTCACAGTGGCTCCAGCCACACTGCCCAAGATGCATAAGGCAAAGGTGGGGACCGGGAGAATGAAGAATCACCCACTGTAGGAGATCAGGTTGGAGACTATCTAAGGAACCCGAAGGTGCACAAGTCCATGGGACCTGATGACATGCAGCTGCGGGTCCTGGGGGAATGGCTGACGAAGTAACTAAGCCACTATCCATCATATTTGAGAAGTTGTGGCAGTCCAGCAAAGTTCATAATGATTGGAAAAGGGGTAAAATAACTCTTTTTTTTTAAAAGGGTTAAAAAAGATGATCCAGGGAACTATAGGCCAGTCAGTCTCACCTCTGTGCTTGGCAAGAACATGGAGCAGATCCTCCTGGAAAATATGTTAGGGCACGTGGAAAACAAGGAGGTGATTGGTGACAGCCAACTTCACTAAGAGCAAGTCATGACTGACTAATTTGGTGGCTTTCTACAATGGGGTTATAGTGTTGGTGGATAAGGGTAGTGCAACTCATGCAAAGCTTTTGTCACTTTCCCACACAACATCTTTGTCTCTAAATTGGAGACACATGGATTTGATGGATGGAGCCCTTGGTGGATAAGGATCTGACTGGACGGTCGCACTCAAAGAGTTGTAATCAATGGCTCCATGTCCAAGCGGAGAGCAGTGAGGAGTGGTGTTCCTCAGGGGTCGGTGTTGGCACCAGTAATGTTTAATATCTTTGTTGGCAACATGGACAATGGGATTGAGTGCACCCTCAGCAAATTTGCCAATGACACCAAGCTGTGTGGTGTTGTTGACACACTGGAGGGAAGGGATGTGCCATCCAGAGGGACCTGGACAGGCTGGGCCTGTGCAAACCTCGAGAAGTTCAGCAAGGCCAAGTTCAGGGTCCTGAACATGGTTGAGGGAATCCCAAGCACAAATACAGGCTGGGTGATGAGTGGATTGAGAGCAGCCCTGAAGAAAAGGACTTGGGTGTAGCAG